TTGAGCATGTATTAGTATGCGTGCGTGCACACGCGAAAAGTAGCGAATAAATTTATGACACTTCATACGGCAGGCAGGCAGGCTGGCAGGCTGGCAGGCAGGCCGGCATTCAGTCAGCCAGTCTGTCAATGTGCAACTGAGCGTGGCATGCCTCGGCTTGCCACGGCGACAAATAAAAATGGAATACTATTTATTTGGCTCTCGCTCTGCCTCTTGAAACACAACGGAGCCACTCCTCTATGTGTGCTAAGTATTTTTTAAAGTCCACTTTGTTTTTGGCTCAATTGTCCTTCAGTCAATAAATGTGTCTGGTGTCTGGTAACAAGTGCAACAAACCCAACTGCCGTCATTGCCAATTTTTATGGCATTGGAATTCGATTTGTGCCAACTTGCTGTCCAATCATTGTAACAGTTTGTCGATGTTGAGAGTCAGCCAGATTGTCTAAAAAGAAAGCATCGAAATGGCTTTATTACAATCGTCAAGTGACTGCAATGTAAAAATTTGATGCCTTACACATACACCGTCATATGTAAATGGAACAAAAAAATCAGATTTATTGTTTCATCAATAAACAAAACAGGGGAAAACTTAAAAAGTACAATGTAAAAAAATAATAATAAATATAGATGTTGATCTAATAATATATCCAAATCACTGCCTAACTGCCCCGATTCGTTGCACAAAGTAGTCAGAAACTTATTATAAGTTGACCTAACAAAAGCGGAAAGTTTCTAGTTGGTCTGTAAGGTGTTAAACCTTAATACGATATTAGGGATCTAAAGAGGAATCAACAACTCCGACAGTCAATTTGTAGAGCAACACTGCATCAAGAATTCTCCTGCTATTATCTCACGACGGCCATGTTTATTAAACTTACGAGAACACCCTTTGAAATATTTAACCCGAGCCAGAGAGTTCTCTCTGACTTCCATTTCTCAAAATTTCTCTCATTTAAACTAATAAATTATCATATGGGAAGGCCAAACTTCTAGGTCACAAATAGTTGGAAATGGTTTCAAATGAATATTAATATTAATAGAGAATATTTCTCGAGGAATGAAAAACCGTAGTATTCTGCTGAGCTATGAATTAACTTTCCATTTTAAATAGTTATACAGCTTTCTTTCATAATGGAACTTGCTGCTGCACACATTTGTTTTTCTACTACTTACATTTGAACACTTGAATATTTTTCTGCAAATTTTCTAAAGTTAAATAACAATAAATTTTATATCCAAATTGAACGCAAAGGTTACGTATGAAAAATAAACCCCCAGAAATGGTTTTCATACAGAATTTTGATGTCAGAACTCAAAAGGCTTCTGAGGAATCCTGAAATGTTCATAAGTTAAACGTCGGCATTCAATCAATATTGAATATTCCCTTACACACACACACACGCACATGCACGCATGCAGCTTACTATGCATAAGTGAATGCATTTATAAATATATTGAATTTTTGTATAATAAAGTCAACGAAAAATTGTGCAGATTTAATGAAACATATTCGAGGCAGAAGCCATGAAAAACATTATGCAACAAAAGAAGCGTACAAAATTAAATTAAATTGCATTTATGAAAATTCATGACAGCTAATGCGTGCCTAAGTGAGCCAGCTTGAGGTCACATATGTACATACACTTATATACAAACTTACATAAATGCAAGCATCTACTTATAGCATATAAATATGTCTCTGTTGGTTGTCAGGGCAGCCGCTTTTAATTAAAAGCCAGCAACGTCTACATTTTCAACTAACAAACGAAAACAAGCCATGGCATTACATGCTTAAGCGCTTTTTCAAACACACACGCACGCACAATAAATATATATACTTGTAATATAGTACTTCTGTATAAAAACGAAAATTCCTCTCGGATGAAATGGAAAATAAATCAAAGACCTGTTGGAGTTTTAATGTGCTAAGAAGTTAGGTTCGCCTGCGCCGAAGCTTAATGTCCTTCACAATGCCTACAACAAAATGCTTTGTTTAATTTAAATGCGTCTCGAATTAAATAAAAGCCCTCTTGCGTCCTTAATAATAAGAACAATATCCTTAATATGCATTTTTGGGGCAATATCTTTATAAACAAACAGTTTTTTAATCTATACTGTTTCTAGATCATCCATTATGTAAGACCTATGAATGTGATATTATTGATCCTCAATTTAATGAGGTATAAAAACTCAAGAAGTATAAGTTTCTATTACGCTTTTATTCATGTGTTGAACTTGCCAGTCGGGCCACCCATAAAGAAGATATCTTCAAATGTACATCGATACATATCGATTCGATATGAAGAATGCAGTATTCTTAAATATACATACACAGGTACATATCGATACGATATTGATATAATTAATAGGTTAGCACCAAACAGATATACTGAGATCAGATGGTCGGTGTTGATATATTAATTGTATTTGTGTCCATCCAGTAAGAAATGGTGATTAAAATATGCCGACAGATAGACAAACTCTTCTGGATGCTACAAAATGCTTTGGGTGACAAAGCAAAAAATGTACTCACTGAAGGGTATTAAAAATCCTTTAGAATAAGTATTCTCTTATCAAGGAAATTCCTCGAAGTCGCCAAAAAAGTAAGACATTTGCGGATTAATAGACGTGTAAAGGCAAATAAAAGTAAAGCAAGTTAAGTAAAGGTGACAATAACATCAAAAAGCTTATCTTTCTTCGATTTAATGAGGAATCCATACCAAGTATAAGTATAGTGGCTCATCTTTTTATCTAACTCCCCAGTAATCAGTTATAATTTTTTTTTGTGGGATAAATTCCAACGATGCCTTGATTGCTACTTTAATATGCGGAAGCAGATTTCCATTTCAGGCTGCCTGCCAACTTAGCTTTCAAGTTTTAATTAAAACGAAATCAGGCGTCCGTCTACCGTCTTCAAGCGAACAGAGATTGGCAATCACAAACGCTCTGAAATAAATTGAACGCAAATGTACTAAAACATTTATTAGTTGTACCAATGTAAATGAACAGTACACAAATTATCACACATACGCCATGTTTGCCCGTTGCCTCATCCATGAGGCTGCCCACAAATAAATGTGCATAATTTTCACTAAATGAGCCACAGTGCTGAAAACATTATTCTGAACAAACACACAGGTGTGTGTGTATGTTTATTCATACATGTTCGTACATACTTTGTTGCCTTTTGGGCAAATCTGATTTGTGTAGTAAGTTGTGTAACGATGATTTGCCTGTGTTGTGGTCTGGGCGGGATACAAGTACATAAGTAAACTGTTAAACAAACCAACATACACACACACACACACGCACTTACATATATACTCACACTTGTGTATCCATGAATCCTGCTCAGCAGCCTGCTGTTAACAGCAAAAGTTTTGGCTACGTCTCTAGCCAGCTGCGCGTATTCACAAATCGTTGCTCAGATAAGTTTTCCTATTTGACTCTAAATACAATGCTGGCCAATCCAATCAATACCAAGCTGCTAAAGGAAGGTTCTATTAAGAACTGTGCTTCCTAGTATTTGAATAATGCATTATTTGATTTTAGGTTACGCTACTTGAGCCTAGCATCGAGATAATTCTGTAGCTAGGGAAGGAAGATCAGATCAAAAAATAAAACAAAAGCTCGTGCTGGGAAAAGGGAAAAGAGTCTATTGACCGAGTTTTGTTAATTTGGGCTCACTCGTTTCCAATGAATTGATATCTCTCTTGTCCTTTGTCCTTTGTGGGGTCGGGGAGGTCTGCTTCCGTCCGTTAGATGCATTTTTAGACACCATTTTTTCCATAACATTTGAAGCATTTCAAACTACTTTACACCTTTATATACTTACAATGGAGTGAGATTTAAATAAAATTTACATTAATAGCAGAATACTTTTGGGACTCACTTTTCGGTTGTGTTCCTTATAGATCTTACGTTTAAGGATATTTTTTGGAAAAATAAATTAAAATCAACTTAGAAACATTTCTATTATAATGATGTATCAGTCTTTAATATCGCAATAAGAATTTCATCTATTTGAAAGCAGTCGTCACACTTTCGGAGCAAACTTTTAAATTTCTATTCATTCTACAGTTAAAAGAAAAAGATTTAAAACAAGATTTTAACTGATTTTGCTGTTTTTCATTTCTATTCCGCCAATTGGTTGGAAACTCTGGCGTACCTATTCAACTGCCTGCTGGTATACATATATTTTCATGAGACTGCAAAGTGCTTTCGTTTGTTTAATACATTTAATTAAAGTAGCTGTTGCTGGATCTGGCTGTGCATTTGTTGTGATTGTTACAATTATAAATGATTTATATAATTTACTTGGCCAAGTCTTGCACCATAACAATTGCATTGTCTGGGGCTTTGTTTACACTTGGCTGAGCATTTTGTCGGGCTTGTTAACTTATTTATCGGACGCATGTTGAAGCAATGTGAAGTTTGTTTGATATTCACTTAAGTGTTGCTCTGACTTTGTCAGTGGATGTAATATTCAAATCTTACTACAATCCGATAAATTACATCATCGGCAAGGATACGAAGAAAGGCCAAAATGGCAAACAGAACTTTAACAAAGTGTTTAATATGCAAAACGCGCTGCTGTCAGACAAGCACATAAACATAGGCGAGTAGTATAGCCCCATGCCAGTACTAAATAAAATTTAGAAAAAGATTCCACGTCAATAACAGGCGTCAAATTGTTGCTCAGTCTAACGAAACGAACAAACGGCAGCGACAATTGTCAGATACGAACACGAACACCAACATCGACATCGACATACAACTTTTTGTGTCGTGGCTGAGAAAATTTCATTCATGTGTCTGCGACGAGTGTGAAGTACGTGATAATTGCATACTTTTGAGTGCAGACAGAGAGACAGACGAGGAGCCGAGGAGGGAGTGCCAATCACCAAATACAGCAAACTTTGTTTAGTGCGCTGTCAACTTAATGCCAACACAAAATTTAACTCAAATCTTTGTTTCCTTCCTTCCCGTCCCACCCGCAGTGACGAAATTCATACGCATTGGCATTGCCGATAAAAACGATAATCCGCCCTATTTCGACAAATCGCTCTATGAAGCGGAAGTGGATGAGAACGAGGATATACAGCATACAGTGCTTACAGTCACAGCCAAGGATCATGATGAGTGTAAGTATATATTTGCATGACTGCCACCCACACACACGCATACACTTGTACGCACACACACGAATTTTTTGGTCTAACGAAAAATGTCGTCAATTATTTTCCACTCACACACATGCTCTTTGGCGTCTCACAGCCTCACGTATACGCTATGAAATTACCAGCGGCAACATCGGCGGCGCTTTCGCGGTTAAAAATATGACGGGTGCCATCTATGTAGCGGGAGCCTTGGATTATGAGACGCGACGCAGGGTAAGTACAATGGGTGGGTGGGCGTTGTTTCCGCTTCTTTTCAGCCCACTTGCGAGTGCTTATTATTGTCGTTGTTCTTGTTGTTGCTGTTGTGGCAAATTCCCGAGGAGGGCGTAGTATTTATGACACTAGATGATCCCTTGGGTTAATTCAACTGTGAAATTTGTTTACAACAGCAGCAAACAAACACGACATCAGCAGCAAAAAATTGAGGCAATCTTTAATTTCTTAAAGATATAAAAAAAAACAAAAGAAAACAAAAACTTACAATTCATTCAATTTGCAATTCTCTCTCTCGCCGCCACACTTCAACGACGACTTGCGGCCACTATAAAATTCATTAAGAAAGTCAAAGGAAGGGGCGGGCGTGTAGTGGTGCCGTTTTTCTTTTGAATTTCATTTACGCGCACTTTTCCATCGCACCGCGAGGCTTGTTAAATATTTAATAGTTCAACAAGTTTAGTTACAAGCTGCGTGCTATGCTCTGCCGTGCTATACTCTACTGTGATGTGCTGTACGGTCAGAAAGTCAAATAGAAAATGCATTCACAAAGCAATTGGCCACACGAATGAGCGCGCTCAAATTAAGGCACGTGGGAGCGAGAGAGGAAGCATTAATTGAATTTCAATTCAAACAATTGACCAAGTGCAACAGTGCAGCGATGCACGCGGCCGCAAAACGTGTTGCACAAAGTTCTGAGCTGGCAATACAATTTGTAAGAATTTGTAATTGGATTGGATGGCTTGTAGCGAATGGCAAGCGAGCGAACGGACGATAAACTTTTCCGAACACATGCAAATATTTGACAGGCAGCAACAATTTAATTAAAATTAATAATGCAGTGCGCAATTTAGTATTAAATGACTGCGATTTAATCATGAAATTCCCAACCCCACCATTCACACGCTGCGCACCAGTATGAACTGCGTCTGGCCGCCTCCGATAATCTCAAGGAGAACTACACCACTGTAATTATACATGTCAAGGACGTGAACGACAATCCGCCGGTGTTCGAGCGTCCCACATATCGTACGCAAATCACAGAAGAGGACGATCGCAATTTGCCCAAGCGCGTCTTGCAGGTCAATCAATATATCTGTCTATATATGAGCGTTCTTTTGAATGATTTTGTCATGAGTTGTCATTGCTTTGTTTAGTTCACTATTTTTTAGTATTTGCTGCATTAGAATTCCTTATAGCTGTTCTGCATATGCACATCAATCATACGCCATGTTGCCGCCACATGGCCTCACCGAACTATTTTATTTCCATTTTACTTAAAGTTGTACTGCATGTCTTGATATTTGTGCTTCTCGTTAAAACAAAGTTGAATGAGTTTATTTCATAAAATGTCCATTGAACTGCAATTGGCTTAGTTTAAGAAAACATTTTATTTTTATTTCATTTATTTATTGCCGTTCTTCTCCCTGCCCTTATGATGGCAAAAAAGCACCAGTTGGTTTTTAAAATAAATGCAATCGTTCGACTATTGGCATTTCACAGCATTGCAATTTTGCAGCATTGTGTCGTAAAATTCCACAACTTTTCGTCGTCCCTAAAATTTGCATCACTTTTTTCTGTGACATACTTTTTGCTGGTCAGTAACATTTCGTATTTGTTAATTATTTGCTGCTGTTGACAGTGATGAATAAAAAGAAATGAACTGTAAGGACATTTGTTAAACCAAAACAATATTAAATTAAAGAAAATTTATATCCTTGCGAAGCCAATGAGAGTAATGCTCTTATTTTGTACAAGGAAGTGAAAATCGTGACAAAAAACTTGCTGACTTTTTCCAGTTTTTGTTTGTTTTTGCGTTTGCATTTATTATTTATTTAAATTCTCCAATTCCTCCTCATGAGAAATTTAAGTATATCCATATGCGAGTCATGGAAATGGAGCATGCTGTAGCAGATTTCAATGGCAGTAAGAAGTATTGGTTAGCTGCACTTTTCAATAATTAAAATATACATTATAGAAATAAATACTAAATTCTTAAATGATACTATTTTTCATGCCAATTGAAAAAAAGTTAAGCTTTTAGATCAATTTAAAGAAACGGGAGTATTTTTTTAGCCGACGAAGTGGAAAAGGTGCTGTCCATTTGATTTAAATTTATAAACTTAAATAAAATTTGAAATCTCTAGAACGCTCAGTGTCATTAAAATAAGCTGTGCAATATTTTTTTTATTTTTTATAAATCTTAAAATCTTAAAACTAACAGAAGAGAATTATGGGTGCAATATTTAAATTCGGTGAGTCTAGGTAACTTATTTGCTTTGCTTGTTTTTACAAACGGCAGACTTAATCCATAATACTCTGCACGCAATGGCAAATGCACATAAATTGTTGAGGCCGGTTATAATACTGTGTTTGCACAATTATTGCACAACACGCAACATCAGCTTGTGTTTCAGTAAAGGAGCAATTAAATGAAAAGCAAAAATAGCAAAAGTGATGAAAATAATTGAGCAGGAATTGGATTTTTAGAGCATGAAAAGCTACTCAAAAGCAAAGCAAATAAATTGTTTCGTGTGCTTAATGCGTTCACCAAAAGCACACTCTGCAAATAAAAAAAAAATCCATTTATGAAAAAAAAACGAAATGTATAATAACATTCGAGTATATAGTATGTAGCGGAAAAAAAGAGTTGCTTTCATTGCTTACAAATTTTGTTAATGCATAATTAAGTAGATATGCCGATAAAATGATTGCATTTCAATTGGTGAGCAAGCGTGTGAAATTAATGCGAGAAATGCAAATGAGGGGACAAAAGTATTTCAATGGCGTTGACGGGTGTTAACTGACAGTGGCTGTGAGCAACGCTTTAGGCTCAACATCAGCCCACAGCTGCACTTGATAGACCAGCCAACCCAGCCACTTATACATACCATATGGCATTTTAATTTAAAATTTACATATGTACAATAATTTTTACATTTCTATAGTTTATGCGTATTTAAAATATACTGTTGATTTATTCACCCTCTTTGTGTTTTACCCGTTTTTCATTTTTTTATATATATTTTTGTTTTTTGTTTTTACGACAACGTGCTTTATTTAATGCTTACAAACACAAACAACACACATACTCGTACACACGAACTAGTATGAACTAAAATTGGTCGCCTCGGACAGTTTAAATGAAAACCAAACAACCATCGTCATAAATGTGCGCGATAAGAACGATCTGCCTCCAGTCTTCCCGCAAACTCTGTACGAGCGCACACTCAACGAGGAAATGGCCACGCCCTTCACCATCATGCAGGTCGTTAATTCAACTACACTCAACTCCTATTGTATTAACCCACTCTGTACATAAGCAAAAGTGACATTAAATACTTGTATAACTCCTCTACATGCAAACATACATACTTGTACATGTACTCGTATTTGCCAACCACAACTCATTACGCTCATCTCTTTCTGTCTCTCTATTTGTAACTTCTATGTACAATATATATGTATATTTTAAATAACATAACTATAACACAAACTACAAGCAAACAGATAAATAATGAAAAACACGGTGTCGTCGTTTAAACGATATTCATAAAACAAATGAAATCAAATTGAAAGGAAATCCCGCCAGCGGTCACAAAGGTGGCGGCATTTAGTATTAACGGCAATTTCATTAATTTTATTTTCAATTACTTTTAGCCATTTGTTTTGGCCTTGCATGGTTTTCCATTGTAGCCATTTTGTTTGTATGCTTTCCGGTCAGGTGTCTTTGTGGTCTTTAATTGTAAATACTGTAGAACTGTTGACAGAATACGAATACGCTTTATTTACCTACTAATATTTTTTCCACATTTACACAGCTGCTGGTTGTATTTAGTGCTTGTTATTAAATTATTTATGTGACACAATTGTTCGTTTAAAACACACTGCCTGATTATATTTTTGCACAGATTTGTTTTGCGGTTTCATTAAACGTACTAGTTTTAAGTGAGATTTTCAGTTTAATACTTTGTTTGTGGTGACCGGACGCTTAGCCGTAATCTGTGCTCTAATTTAATTAGACTAAGTATATGGACAAAAAGTTAAGCCCTGTGGTCAATATTAAACCAAGCTCCTACTCCCCTTTCTAAAGATTTCTCAATATTTCATTTTAATCTCTAGCATTGTCTGTTCACATACATTTATTTGGGTTAAGGAAAAGATTAAAAATAAATACGTATTTAAATTTAAAACCTTTGACACATTACAAGTATAAGCCGCAACAAGTAAAATAATTAAAGAGTGTAAGACTTGAAAGCGCTTAAACAAATGATTCGTTGACTTTGTGTCTTAATTAACTTACAAAGGTGGCGAAAAGTAATTGTACCCCTTCTAAAGAATTCAAAAAGCTGTTATCGAACGAATTTTAGTTTATTAGCAGTCCTTTAAAAAAGTTAATTAACAGTTGCTGGATGTAAATATTTAACCCACTAATTTATTAAGCACCACCTTACACTTAAAGATACCCGACTTTCTTCGAAGACAATTATTTCAGTGTTCTTCAAAGTCACAAGAGTTGTTTGTATTTAAATGTGACAGTTAAATAATGATACTTTGTATATTTTTTATGATCGAAAATTAACATCTATTTGTTAAATACTTAACAATCTTAAGTTTGTAGTTGTGTAGTGTAGTCAAGTAATGTAAATGCTCACAAAACTAACACTTTAGCTATACTGCTAACGCAATTTCAAATTATTGTTTTTAAATTTATTTATTTATTTGGATTGTTCTTAGCATATGCTTTGTTTAACATAATGTCTTTATTTGGCCAACTTATTGAAATGTCAGCAAAAACTAATATGCAAACTTATTCTTCATTTTCCCACTGCAACTACACTGTCCTGGACTATAGGTCACAGCCACGGATGGCGATAAGGATCGGCCACAGAATATTGTATATTTCCTGACTGGTCAAGGCATTGATCCTGATAATCCGGCCAATAGCAAATTCGATATAAATCGCACAACCGGCGAAATATTCGTGCTTAAGGTGAGTCTTAACTTAAAAGGCGCTGTAATTTTAATTATAAGATATATATAACCAGACACACCTACAAAGACACGGTAAATTGCCGCTCGGTAAGCCGCAGCAAGTGTGGCTGATACAGCAAAAAGTGAAGGAAAAAATAAATATTGCATTTAAATTAAAAAATTGCCGCCGCGCCTGCCAAAGGACGTCTGAACATGACTGCGAAGGCAGCGCCCAATCAACGGGCACTTAAGCCGAGCGAACGTGCGAAACTTTTCGCGTGCTCATTATTTAACATTCAGCTTCGATTTGGGTTGGAATTGGTCATGAAAATGTGGTTAAGTCGCACCTACTCAACAAATATACGCCATAATATGGTGCAGTCTGTTTGGCGAATTTAAAAAGCAGAGACAGTTCACATATATGAGTACCGCTTTAAAGAGCTCTAAGCCATAATAGCTGCCAATGGCATTCGCATTTCCATTTAGTGCATTATAAAATAAATTGAAATTAATTACAAACCCACTAACACTAAGCTCTCAGCTCTCTGCTCTTTGCAGTACAAAGCAAATATTTTAAAACTAACTGAACAAATTTAGTGAAATTCCCATGCGAAATTCCAGAAAATAGAACGCATTTGGCCAGCAAGTCCCACCAAAGCAGCGACCAATTTGGCAATTTTGTTGCAACAACTGCACAGTTGCATTTGCCGCGACGGCAGCTATTAACAAAAATAATTTAAACATATATATACTTGTATATATCGTGTATATATATGGGGTAGTTTAGAACGCACATGTGTGCCACACAGCATGCTCTAATAAAATTATAATTCCACATGCGAGCAGAACATAAATCTAATGTGGAGCCCAGTCCGCGCAGACGCGCAGACACCCAGACGGCTGAAGTAATCCCTTAAATTGAAAATGTCATAACAATGACGAAAAATTTGTCATGCAAATTAAAGCAACAACGCATACAAATATTTTTTATTTAGCTTGTCGTTGGGTAAGGATATGGATATTTTACATATGTACGAGTATGTACAACGATGTACAAACAAATCCAATGTCAACGCCATGCATAACACAATAACAACAACAACAGCAGCTTTTACTATTGTTGCTGCTACGGCTGCCCTTGCTGGGTTGCCTGTCAGTTGTGTGTCCATGGGGTGAAGGGGTCAGAGACAAGCATAAGCGTTACGACATGAGCCAAGAGATACAAAAGTGCTGATTAAAAATAACATACACATACTCACATTTTTTGCGCTTTTTATATAAAAGGTAGCTGCTTCCCATCTCCCCACCTCCTGTGGGCATCACTTGAGCCGCCATGAATGCATATCAAAGTCAAAATCAACATAAAGCAGCAGGGGATGGGGTTGGGGTCGGTTGCGAAGCAAGGGGTAGAACGAAAGAATTGGATGAAGGGACACCATTGTGTGGCAACGAAAGGTTAATTTTATAGGGTTTTGGGGAACGGGGTTGGGGGGAACTCACAACAACAATGTTTTCACTGATGCTAATCGGTTTTGTGGCCATGACAGCTAAAATTATATAATACAATGGACACAGGCATCCATATACTACTATGCATGCATAATACAAGTACATAATATATGTAGGTGTATACACATTAACTCGAACTTTTCCAACCACTTACAGCCTTTGGATCGCGATCAGCCCAATGGGCGGCCACAATGGCGCTTCACTGTTTTCGCACAGGACGAGGGCGGCGAAGGACTTGTTGGCTATGCGGATGTGCAGGTCAACCTCAAGGACATTAACGACAATGCGCCCATTTTCCCGCAGGGCGTCTACTTCGGCAACGTGACTGAGAATGGAACTGCCGGAATGGTAGTCATGACCATGACTGCCGTGGACTACGACGATCCCAACGAAGGATCGAATGCGCGCCTTGTCTACTCAATTGAGAAGAACGTGATCGAGGAGGAGACTGGTTCACCAATTTTCGAAATCGAGCCGGACACCGGAGTGATAAAGACCGCTGTCTGCTGTTTGGATCGTGAACGCACGCCCGACTATTCCATACAAGTAGTGGCAATGGATGGCGGGGGGTTAAAGGGTACTGGCACGGCCTCTATACGTGTCAAGGATATAAACGACATGCCCCCGCAGTTTACAAAAGATGAGTGGTTCACTGAGGTGGACGAAACGGATGGCACAGCACTGCCAGAGATGCCTATCCTCACAGTCACTGTGCACGACGAGGACGAGACTAACAAGTTCCAGTACAAAGTGATCGATAACAGCGGCTATGGTGCCGATAAGTTCACCATGGTGCGCAATAATGATGGCACCGGTTCCCTGAAAATTGTGCAACCGCTTGACTACGAGGATCAGTTGCAGAGCAATGGATTCCGTTTTCGTATACAGGTGAACGACAAGGGCGAGGACAATGACAATGATAAGTACCACGTGGCCTACTCATGGGTCGTGGTCAAGCTGCGCGACATTAACGACAATAAACCCCACTTCGAGCGAGCCAACGTGGAGGTTTCCGTGTTCGAAGACACCAAGGTTGGCACCGAGCTGGAGAAGTTCAAGGCCACCGATCCTGATCAGGGTGGCAAGAGCAAGGTGTCCTATTCCATAGATCGATCCTCGGATCGTCAGCGTCAGTTTGCCATCAATCAGAATGGTTCAGTGACTATACAACGGTCCCTGGATCGCGAGGTGGTACCCCGGCATCAGGTCAAGATCTTAGCCATAGATGATGGCTCACCGCCAAAGACGGCAACCGCAACGTTGACGGTAATTGTGCAGGATATCAACGACAACGCGCCCAAATTCCTCAAGGACTATCGCCCTGTATTACCGGAGCATGTACCGCCACGCAAAGTGGTCGAAATATTGGCCACAGACGATGACGATCGTTCAAAGAGCAATGGACCACCATTCCAGTTCCGCTTGGATCCCAGTGCTGATGACATTATTCGCGCATCCTTCAAGGTGGAACAGGACCAGAGTGAGTATTCATTTATTTAATATTCATCTATCAAACTCTGCTCTGCTCTGCCTCTCGAAATTCTATACACTTACCAATTATTTGCAAACTGCTGCACGTGCCTCCAATGACCTCACAATGGCTTTGACCATTCGCAAAAGTTTCGGGCTGCAATAGAAAAGTTGAACGCATATTTAGGTCAAAGTTTAAACAATACACAAGCGTAACATTTGTTGGCGCATTTTTCGTATTTGTTACTGCTCTTGCTATTGTTGCTTTTATTGAAATGTCCTTACAAACTATGTGCAGACATGTGTGTATGTGCATATACATAAATGATTACACATACATACAAGTATGTATGAATGTATATGGGGAGCCAACTTTGGCTTGTCACAGTGCGAGTATATGCTAGACTCGTACATACATGTATACATTCACATGAAATGCTAACAAAAGCATAAAAATGCAATTACCCCAAACCAAAATGAATAGCATGAAAAGTAGAGGCCATAAAACGAAACCGTAAACCGCGCTCTTACACACCCAACCGCCCACCCACCCACACACGTTCCGGCATACACACTACGTAAAAATTTAAATAAAATAAGCAGTGCCAGCCAAAAGTCAGAGACACACGGACACTACCCGGCTTGTACCTGCGGCTCCTTCGGGTATGGGCTAAAATGAAATGGCAAATGCACAAGTTTTCAATTAAATTACCTGGACAGGTAACCAGACTGGCGACCCTGCCTGCCACCCACAAGAAAAGCCAACTACATTTTTGTCTGCCTCAAGCCCAGGTCCGTCTTTGTATAAACCCTCAGGGGCATTGGCTGCTCCAACGAATTCTAAGTTAATGCGGTACAGTAAGCAAGTTGACCAAAAACTGGACACGATATTAAAACTTTGATATAACGTGGATTCATTTCTGCACATCATTATGATCAAATCGAAATAGATCTACTTGTATTCAAAAAACTAAAATCCATGCACTATCACAAGAAGTAGCTATATTAAATCCCCAACTATCCACAACTTGAATTTATGCAAGAACACATTTCGAATTGTTCCACTGTGCCTTGTTGCAACGTCATCAGCACAGCTTGTTGGATGGCAATCCAATTTGGCTGCGCCCTGCGAGGGGCCGATGTAGATGTGTGCAACTGCGGTTTGACTTTCCACCACTACCGTCAAGCTTCTAGTCATGGAACAAAGTCGGGACTGTGGATTGTGGGACTGTGTGAGCACTTGGGCCACGCTCGCTTGTATTTGCATACAATTTGCCTAAAAACACACCATGGAGTATCTTTAAAAATACATTTGACTGTGTGTGTGTGGAAGGAGGAGAGGCATGCGTTGCTAGTCCGCATAGCATCAGTGGTCGGTGGACTTTGCCAGTTGTCGGGTGGTAACCAACTGGATTACAACTGCCATTTGTTGTATGTGTGTGTGTGTGTGTGGGTGTGCAGTGAGACTTCACACTTGTTGGCTCAAAGGCGTAATTACGACAAATAGCAAACCGGCAAAGTTTGGAGCAATCAAGCGGAAGCGGATTGTAATAACAGAGCTTAGTGTCGACCGAACAGTGTAGGTAACCAGGAAATGCTTTTAAAAGCTCAAAAGTAGTGGGGGCACTTTAATATAATTTCGGCCCGTAATTAAGTGCAGAGTTTTGAGGATCTACGATTAAATTTCTAGCTAATAAACCACATTTTTTGTCATTGCTCTCCACTTAAACATTCACAGAGGGTGCTAATGGTGATGGTATGGCTGTGATTTCGTCACTGCGCTCCTTTGATCGCGAACAGCAAAAGGAGTACATGATACCCATTGTGATCAAGGATCATGGCTCACCCGCAATGACCGGCACCAGCACACTGACTGTTATCATTGGCGATGTGAACGACAACAAAATGCAGCCAGGCTCCAAAGAAATATTTGTGTACAATTATCAGGGCCAGGCCCCGGACACACAAATTGGACGAGTTTATGTCTACGATCTGGACGACTGGGATCTCCCCGACAAGAAGTTCTATTGGGAGGCGCAAGAGCATCCGCGCTTCAAGCTCGACGAGGACTCGGGCATGGTAATCATGCGAACGGGCACCAGGGAGGGTCGTTACCATCTACGTTTCAAGGTGTACGATCGCAAGCACACACAGACCGATGTGCCGGCTAATATCACCGTGACAGTGCGCGAGATTCCGCACGAAGCGGTCATCAACTCGGGCTCTGTGCGGCTATCGGGCATCTCCGACGAGGACTTTATTCGCGTCTGGAACTATCGTACCCAGAGTCTTAGTCGCTCCAAGCTGGATCGCTTCCGCGATAAGCTAGCCGATCTGCTTAACACCGAACGTGAAAACGTGGACATCTTTAGTGTGCAGCTGAAACGGCGGCATCCTCCGCTTACGGATGTTCGCTTCTCCGCCCATGGATCGCCATATTACAAGCCGGTACGACTTAACGGCATTGTGCTAATGCATCGAGAGGAAATCGAAAAGGATGTGGGCATCAACATAACGATGGTAGGCATCGATGAGTGTCTGTACGAGAACCAAATGTGCGAAGGAAGCTGCACCAATTCCCTTGAGATAAGTCCACTGCCATATATGGTCAACGCCAACAAAACGGCGCTGGTGGGTGTGCGGGTCGACACATTGGCAGACTGCACATGCCGCGCTCGAAACTTCTCGAAGCCGGAGTCTTGCCGCACTACCCCCTGCCACAACGGCGGTCGCTGTGTGGACACTCGATTCGGACCACATTGTTCCTGTCCCGTGGGCTACACAGGTCCGCGTTGTCAACAAACCACGCGTAGTTTCCGCGGTAACGGATGGGCGTGGTATCCACCCCTGGATATGTGCGACGATTCACATCTCAGCCTGGAGTTCATCACGCGCAAACCAGATGGCCTTATTATCTATAATGGACCTATTGTTCCCCCAGAACGTGATGAGATGCTAATATCGGACTTTATAGCTTTGGAACTGGAGCGAGGCTATCCGCGACTGCTCATTGATTTCGGGTCGGGCACATTGGAGTTGCGCGTTAAAACAAAGAAGACACTGGACGATGGCGAATGGCATCGCATCGATCTATTCTGGAACACTGAGACCGTGCGCATGGTTGTGGACTTCTGCAGGTCCGCGGATATAAGCGAAATGGAGGATGGCACGCCGCCCGAATTCGATGACATGTCGTGCCAGGCGCGTGGTCAGATACCAGCCTTTAATGAGTACCTGAACGTGAACGCACCTCTGCAGGTGGGCGGTCTCTATCGCGAGCAGTTTGACCAGTCGCTCTACCTGTGGCACTACATGCCCACAGCTAAGGGCTTCGATGGCTGCATAAGGAATCTGGTGCACAATTCCAAGCTATACGATTTGGCCCATCCGGGACTATCGCGTAACAGTGTCGCTGGTTGTCCCCAGACGGAGGAAGTCTGCGCCCAGACAGAGGCCACGGCTCGTTGTTGGGAGCACGGCAACTGTGTAGGCTCACTCTCAGAGGCACGTTGTCACTGCAGACCCGGCTGGACGGGTCCGGCTTGCAACATCCCTACCATTCCGACAACGTTCAAGGCACAAAGCTATGTGAAATATGCGCTCAGTTTCGAACCTGATCGTTTCAGCACTCAGGTGCAGTTGCGGTTCCGCACGCGTGAACAGCACGGCGAATTGTTCCGCGTGAGCGATCAGCACAATCGAGAATACGGCATTCTGGAGATCAAGGACGCACGTCTACACTTCCGCTACAACCTGAACTCACTACGCACGGAGGAGAAAGATTTGTGGCTCAATTCCGTGGCCGTTGACGACGGTCAGTGGCATGTTGTGCGCATTAACCGCTATGGTTCGGCGGCCACCTTAGAGCTTGACGGCGGAGAGGGCCGTCGCTACAACGAAACCTTCGAGTTTGTTGGTCACCAGTGGTTGCTGGTGGACAAGCAGGAGGGTGTTTATGCGGGCGGCAAGGCAGAGTACACAGGTGTACGCACGTTCGAAGTGTATGCGGACTATCAAAAGAGCTGCTTGGATGACATACGGTGCGTATGATTAATGTGCTATTTACTTTTCCGTTTCTATAAACATAATTTGTCTCTTGCCGTTACAGTCTGGAGGGCAAGCACTTGCCATTGCCACCGGCCATGAATGGCACACAGTGGGGCCAGGCCACTATGGCACGTAATCTGGAGAAGAACTGCCCTTCGAATAAACCCTGCTCCAATGTCATATGTCCGGATCCGTTTGAATGCGTAGATCTGTGGAACGAATACGAGTGCACGTAAGTTCTGCAACTTTATTTATTCAGTTTGCATCCACGCATAACCTTTCGTTTCTCATCACAAAAAACGATAAAAATTTCAAAAAGAACTTTATTTGACTGCTCGGACTGATCGACTTGTATTAACCTGAATGAAAAGTGCGTTGATTTTTCGATTGGTTCATTATGATTTCCACCTTTACAAGCAAGGCTATTTGGAATCAAACATATTCTCCTACATATACACTGAGTATATACGACGTGAAGTGAAACAGCAACAGAAAACAAATTGGAAAACATGTGCACAAAAGGGAAAATCGTCTGCAGCAAAAACCAACAATCAGCAAAACCAACCAACATTTGATAGGATTAATCAATTAAAGGCAGGGCCCCCAAAAAAAGTACAGCCAGAAAAGGAAGCACGATGCAATGCCACACATACACACACACACACACATACGCACACGCACACCAACACATATGTCCGTCAATCAACACTTCAAACGATGTGGCGTCCGGCCTCGGCTCGGTACGGTTCGGCTTAAATCTCTGTGCATGGAGGCGCTGGACTTGCCCGTGCTCTAGGTCCGGATACCAAACATTGCGTGACAAATCAATCGGCTTAGGCTTAGGCTCCGGCAACTACTGATGTCAAGCTTCTAATGGTCTTTCGTTTTTCGTCTACTTATTCAAGTTTCTGTTTCATCACACTCTCACACATCACACATAAGCGCCTATGGCATAACAGACTTACATGCGACTATAAGCGATGCATCGTTCAGTTGTACAAACTCATATATACACGAGCTCATTTGTGACCTTCACAGACACAACCATACACCATACGAGTCACATGTATACGTGGCGACTTATTTCTTTTGGCTTACAATTGTATTAGCTTTTTATTGTGCCACGTTTCGTCGGACTCCAAGTGCCGTTAAACTGCTGTTACGTCAAGGTCTTGTGCACCCGCCCCACCTCGCCTCGCCTCGCCTCTTTTTGTTGATCGTATTTTCTTTTGTACTAAACTCAGACTCACTGTCGACCTACGCAACAGTCTCTTACATTGGCCCGCCCCCTCCCCTTCATTGGTCATTTTAATCGACTGCTTTGCTCATCATTTACTTTCTGTATCAATAAATGTAACGTTTCTATATTCATACTCTCATATCCCCCCCTACTATATATACAACACTCATCATTTAATTAAATCCAATGTTTGTGCCATCTGTGAATACAATACCCTCGTAAATTCCATTCTAAAATAAAACAAAAAACAAAAAAAAACAAAAATATAAAAACAATTACAACTAAATAGTTGCGGCGAGGGACGCATCATGTCGGCTGATGCCAAGGGCTGCATGGATCGCAACGAGTGCCTCGATTTACCCTGCCTGAATGGTGCCACTTGCATAAATCTCGAACCGCGTCTACGCTACCGTTGCATCTGCCCCGACGGCTTCTGGGGCGAGAATTGTGAGCTGGTGCAGGAGGGTCAGACCCTAAAGCTGAGCATGGGCGCGTTAGCGGCGATTTTAGTCTGTCTGCTGATTATACTGAGTGAGCATACCAACTACAACAGCAACAACAACAAAAACAACAACTCTAGATATATGCAATAACAACAACTATAGCATTTAGCTGCTTTAGCGCCTGCCTAGTCCATTTTTAAATACTTATATACTCGTCTATTTTTCTTTCTACTTGTATGTATGTGTGTCCTTTGATTACATGAATCTATACCCATATCAGTCTCAGTTCTTTCGTAGCTCACCCACCTACACTCATATATACATCCATAGCGTATATATTCTCGTATACTTGTATATCATTTGTTGATCTCATTCCACGTCATCGTGAGCAACTGCCTCTTTGTTTTTTTGTGATTACTTATGCACCAACGTTTTATATGCTTTTTCCAACAAGTCGCACACTATGTATTATATCTATATTTATTATATGGATATATATGTGTGTGTGTGTGTGTGTAAATCAAACACATGTCCAATCATTCATTCATTCATGCCTGGATTCCTTTATCTATTTAAATTTTTAAAAACAGAGTTCACTGAATCGTGGTTTTAATGAACACACTCACACTCACACACTCAGTCACATACTTGTACACTCCCATAAAAAAGCGCACACACACTGTGTCTCTCATTTAAATGGATTTCATAAAAAGTCATTTGCCATTTGCCATTTCATCCGCATTTCATTTCATTTCGTATCCATCATTCGATGTAACTGTTTACTCTTTGTTTATGGCACATTTTATGTTTACTGCCCGACACTGTAATAACCATAATTCAGAGTGTTCGACTATGTATGTGTGTATGTAAATATTTGGAGAAATCATTTTAATTAAATGACAAAAATCGTAGTGTGTCATTCATCAGCATTGCGATCGTCGGCAGTAAGGTACGTACAAAGTAGAGGAATGCATAAATAGTTGTAGAAATAAGCATAAGCATAAAGAATATACATACATATATTTTAAACCAGTGCCAGAAGGCCCCCATCTTTAAGAAGAGCTACGAATTTGCACTTTGAAAAACGATTTTAATTAATTTTTACTGCTAGCCAGAAGAGGGGAATGACAAAAAGCACTTTTTAACGCACACCACACTACGAATCTTAAACACATTTCAAAAGCACGCAATAACAAATCCTGAAATGCCTTCAGGTAAGTTAACAAATGTGCAGTCAAAGATATGTATGTACTGCCAACCACCGACCTATCAAGGGGTGGCAGGCAGCCACAGGAAGAAATTGCAGTTTTTAGCTTTGGAATCTCGAAAAATCACGATGCACTAAATCCACAACGCCAAACGAGCGCCACGAACAGCAAAAAATAGAGAAGGCAGGCAGAAATAAAACACACACGCACACACACACATACAAACAGAGCCAGTCAAACAAGACACTGAGCACTACTAAGGAGCTTCATATCCTTTGCCCCTTAACCGGCGCTGCAAGGATTTCCACAAGACGCAACGTTTGCATTTCTTGGTCCTACAAATTTTCTATTAAATACAACTTGAGCAGTTTTTTAAGTTTTTCTTCCTTCTGCCGTGGCTTATGTTAAATGTTTGGGGCGTATATGTGTGTACCAGAGAGAGAAAGAGGGAGATGGAGAGGGAGAGGGAGGAGGTTGTGTAAATACCCAGAAAAATGTCAGTTCAAACTGTGAGGGGGGGAGAAGAGTGAAAAATGTTTGTACGAGTTGCTGCTGCCACGAACATTTGTTCAATCGCAGCAGCTGGGCAAAAAAATTATTTAACCCCAGCCCCCGCTCCAGCCCTTGCCATCAACTCAACTTTAACTAAAAGTTAATGACGTAAAATATGGCAAAGCTGGCTTAGTACCAGCACTAGCGCCTCCACAGTCCAAGACACATCAAGCATCGGACACTATACTCGCAGTACTTCTGATCAGTTTAAACTACGCACTTGGGAGCAATCAAAGGCAGGACGAAAAAACTATGCAACTTTTCGACTGGCGCTGATTTAGTGTGAAAGTTTTTGCTGCTTTTTGAGGGGCATTTACTTTTGAGCTCCTGCTGTGCTATCACTCCTCCTTCTCTCTCTCTCTCTCTCTCTCTCTCTCTCTCTCCCTCTCTCCCACTCACTCCTTAAGTTTGTTATCTGGGCTTGGCTTGTCGGCCTTCTGGCTCGTTGGTCAATTGCGCTGTTTGCCAATAAGTGTCAATACATATATCAAAAGTGTCTTATGTCTGCATTTGAAATGTGTCCGAACCCATTTGCCAAAGTGGCTTTGAACATATTTGCGCAGAGCTACACAATTTAAGCTTAACAATTTGAAATGTACAAAAAAGGGACTGCTCAACTTTTTCTGCCTGTTGGAAAAATGCAAGCCATTTTCCTCATTATATTTGCATTTTCGCAAAAGCACTTTCAATGGAGCGACCGCAGCTCGAAAGCGACATTTGCTCCAGGACAGTGGTTGGCGCAAATGAGCGAAATATTTGTAGAGATGTACATTTTTTCTTGTATTTTTTTGTCATTGGAACTAATACACTGTTCAGAGTGTACCTTAAACGTTAATGTAAAAACAAATGAATGAAATACAGAAAGGGTGCGAAGGGCAATGGAAATACAAATAGCATTCACATATGAAATTGACTGATCAGTATAATTTTAAAACATTTCTCGACTCGTTAGGAACGCAGTTGAGAATCAATAAATCATATTGTGCAAATATATACAAATATGTATTATCTTGTGGGTTGCACATTCCTTTCATTTTTTGAAAAAGAAACAGTCATTTCACAATTCGATTCTTCAAACTTTCATTCTCTGGATATTGTTGTTCTTTAAGATTTGTCTTCCCTTTCTCTCTTATGTGAATTCAGACAAATATGCTATTGCATTCAAATTAAGCCTTGAGAGTAATATTTGTAACCTGATTACACACATCAACACACCAAATATCCTATTTGGAATTGCTTATTTTGAAAGCGAATCAAAAGCAAGTTAATAGGGTGTTGAAAGCAAAAAGAATTCAAGTTCTCCCAAATTCGAATAAGAAGCCGTGCACGTAAAACTTTATTCAATTCTCTCCCAAAGAACAACTACAGATAATGCAGAAACAAGTGCAACAGCTGAATGATAATAATAAAAGTGCAAGGGAAACAAGGCGAATACGTAGAGTGAAAACAAAAGTGCACAAAACAGCACTTAAGATGCGTGTTACTGGAAGGCGAAGGGGGGCAAAAGTGAAAGATGAGGCGCCCCAAAAGTAAGCTAAGCAAATGCAAAAAGTTTGTTATACGCGCAAAACAGAAAATCGACGCAAAAAACAGAAAACTTAAAAATATAAAAACGCGCAAAGTGCGATATAATAAGTACAACAATAACAAGCAGAGAGCTAAACCAACGAATGGTTATAAGACTTTTTGACAGTTTTTCACACTCTTCAGTGCACACCAACACCAACACCAACACCAACACAATAAAACTAAAGTAAAGTAAGGAAAGTAGAGAAAACAAAGCAGGAATCCATTTTCATAACTATTCAAAGGTGCTGCAGAGAGAGAGAGAGAGAGCAGTGGAGGGAAGAAGGGAGAGAAGAGAACGGAAAACAAACGTTACAATATGCATAAAGTTTACCAACCATTGCCTGAGATGCATTCTCGTAGAACGACGCATACACGTACATACAAGCATACCAACAACACCCGCCCACCCACAGACTGACAGACTCGCATGATGAAAAACAAATTTTAAATAATCGCTTTTTTGTTTTTTCTTTTCAACACACCCAAAACAACAACAACAATAACGACACCACGACCGTGACACACACACTTTCTCATATATACACACACACACACCCACATACGATTTCTTACGCACATCCACTTGTGTGCAAACTTTGGCTGTCAACATCGATACGGTTTGTCGGCGGCATTCCACTACTGCCTTCTACTTGCCTTCATTTTCCACATGCTCCTTCCACAGCTGCCCCGCCGGCTATAAAATCTCCGGCAGCACTTGTGTCAACGACAACGAGTGCCTTCTCTTTCCTTGCCGCAACGGCGGCCGCTGCCGCGATCATCATCCGCCGAAAAAATACGAATGTCAATGCCCCATGAGCTTTACGGGCATGCACTGCGAGCTGGAGCTATTGGCCTCCGGTGTGTTGACGCCGTCCCGCGATTTTATCATCGCGCTTGTCCTCTGCCTGAGCACTCTCATACGTAAGTACCAATACCAAACACTCGACTTCCAGGTGCGAAGCTGTGATAATTGCCCAGTCTTGGGCTGAGCGTAAGTTATGTAGCAGAATGAAGGTTGTTTTCAAAGCACAAAATACTATTCTAGTAGTTGTATATAAATTGTCGAGCTTTGTGATGTAAGTATTCCGCATGAAACTACAGATAACAAGTTCTTAACTAACGCAAATCTCAGAAAAACACAAATTTTTGGTGAGTTTCGAACAACATAAAACGAAATGTGAGATAACGCTATTTTAAGCTTAAGCGATATTTTGAAAAAGTAGGGGATTGTTTTTAACAGGTTTCCATAATTCAAGACACAATTTAAATAATAATAATAATAATATATTTTGAACTAGAATTTTGAAAAGTCAAAGCTTTAGAATGATATTATTATAATTTGCCACAAATTCGGGGAAATTTTTTGCCCTTAACTATTTTAAAACTGGAATGAAATAATATCCTTTTTACAAATAATTTAAATAGTTAAAATATTGCGACCCACTTCTTATGTTCATGGTCTTGTGTTCACATCTGTTTTGCAGTCATATTCGCTATAATCTGCAGAAAATCATTTCCCATCATTTAAAAAGTTGTATATAAATGAATAGAAATACCCAAATTGAATATTAAATTAAATTAAATTTCAAGAAAAACCTTAAACGAACGATGTAATTTAAAATTTTCAAACAAGCGCTCACAATTTAAAAATAAGTGCTCTTCGAACTTTTACACAATGATTATTAAGCTGATAGTCCCACGAAAGAATAAATATTAATGCAAGCACATACTCGTAGAAGTACATGCGAAATAATTTCTCGAATGGTTTTCGCTGAAATGTGTTTTTTGCAATTAGCCGTATAAACTGAACTTAATAGCCAGAACAGCTGCCCTGAAAGGCAGTCATCTTTAAAATATCTCATTTAAATATTAATACAATAATTAAGGCAAGCAATTATGATATCAATGCAATTGTACGAGTATTGTATGTCTGTATGCCGGAAACGAACGCAAAAGTCATTTCCGGACACACACAAAAGTTTGGCCATAAATTAAAATCATTGAATGACTGCTATTGATGGGTGGTCATAAGGCTTCGAGTCCTTATAGCGACAGACGAAAAGTAAATTAAAGAAACGCGTACTTATTTGAGTAACCAAATAATTGCAATTACGCGGCATCACAGAGCTGTCCATTTTAATGTCGCCGGCTGTCCAACAAAGTTTTTTTTCGCTCCGGCAATTTACTTGCCGAGCAGCTTGCGGTGACAATTTCTACGCTTTCTGACTTCCCAGAGGGAAAAGAGAAAATGGAGAGAAACGCGAAGTGGAGCACAGCAAACAAAAAACTTTCCTGTGCAACAGATGCTGCCAGGAGATGCAATGTGCTGCCCTGACACACAGACATATACTTATATATATATTTGTATATAGAAACATATATTTATGCTATAGTATCTGACAATATCTTCCGCTGAAATACGCGTGCACAAAATTAGAGAGTAGTAAGTGTAGCAACAACAACAACTTGGCGAGCAGATAAGGACCGAAAAGCCAACAAAGTTCTCGATTTGCCTGCCTGGCTGCCACAGTGGCTTCCACAGTTGGTGCCACAACCATTGCCACTACGACTACGACTGCGACTGCGAAGCATGCCGTTTGCTTATTTGCCGAGGCAAATGGCGTCGTAGCTGACTGCCATTTTATTAACAGTTATAGCAACAAATGCACAGCATTGCAAGCATCGCAAATGGGGCCCGAAAAGTGGGGCAATGTGCGCTATATTTGTTTGTTTACTTTTTCATAAAAGCACACACACACACACACACTCACATTTCTCTACATATTGCTTATGGACTTTTTTTGTTTCTACTCTCTTTTCGGAAAGAATTTAATTAAGAATTTGTGAATTTTGCGAAAGCTGCGTTTTTCGCTACAAAATTTGTTCATAGGTAGAAAAAATATTAAAAATACACCAGCAAGAGCTGACGCTCAGCTGGAATTGCACCGACATTTATGCAGTTTCAGTTGCAATATGGAAAGAATTAATTCTGAAAAAAATAATTCAACCCTAATATACTTGTAGTATATATAGTAGAGGTATGCAGAAAACTATGAAGATTATTGCATCATTGCCATGTATAAATATTACTCTATGTGTGATCAAAATTGTTTTAATGATATCAGCCATCCACAAATCTGTTCATTTGAAGCACTAGATTACTGTAGAATGAATGTGCATGTCTAGAGTGTTGTAAATGCCCTTACTTATGCTAATTATTGTTGTTGCATATATGGCTACGAAGTGAGATTGTCATTGAGATAATTATCTCAACTAATAATATGTTATTGCTTGCACCCTCCCGTAGTACTCGTACTGGTCTTTGTGGTCTACAATCGAAGACGCGAAGCGCATATAAAGTATCCTGGACCCGATGATGATGTGCGCGAGAATATTATCAACTATGACGATGAGGGTGGCGGCGAAGACGACATGACCGCATTTGATATAACGCCCCTGCAGATACCAATCGGTGGTCCCATGCCACCGGAACTACAACCCATGAAAATGCCCATTATGTGTAAGTACAGTTGGAAAGGAAACTTTTTCTTCACCCCAACACTTTTTATTTTTATCATTTGCTAACCTCTTTTATGTCGACCGTTTCTCGCTGTGATTGCAGACCCCGTAATGACGCTAATGCCTGGGCAAGAGCCGAATGTTGGCATGTTCATTGAGGAGCATAAAAAGCGTGCCGATGGAGATCCAAATGCTCCGCCCTTCGATGATTTGCGCAACTATGCGTACGAGGGTGGTGGCAGTACTGCCGGTTCACTAAGCTCCTTGGCTTCAGGTACGTTAACACTGCACTCTTACAATTCCCAGATGTAGTTATGCCGATGAGATAACTAGTTGTTGCACCCAATATGCGGACAATTTCAACACGCCTTTTACTTATAGAATAGTATACATATATACTTATGTAGTATGTACTATATAGTTGCTCTCAGCTGAGTTGCCCCAAAAAGTAGGCTACAATCTAGAGCCACTGACACACCGATACAAGCACCAAAACACACACAAATTCTTCTTATACTCATACACTTCTCTTTGACATTTACAGGGCAACAACGCTCAAAAACCGCAGAATATTGGGTGTAAAGTAGATAAGATAAATAATAACGAGCATGGTGTGTTTTTTTGTGTTTTTTCTCATTGTGCTCCATTGAATTGAATACTCGTATGATGGGAAGCATTTTGAAATAAATTGGGCTTCTGTCATTACAGGCACAGATGATGAGCAACAAGAGTACGACTACCTCGGCCAGTGGGGGCCACGCTTTGACAAGCTGGCCAATATGTATGGACCTGAGGCGCCTAATCATAATACCGAACTAGAATTGTAAGTTAAGAGAAGGCGGAAACTAAACCAAAAACGTTTGGCGGCAAAAAACGAAAACAAATCAGTTAAGTAGCCATAATGTTGCATTTAAACTCCACAATACAAACAAAACAAAAACAACAAAACAAAGGAAGAACATCCACACAAGACATACAGAGTTGGTCCTGCAACCTGTATACACAAAAAGGCGCAACCAAAGAAGCGGGAAGCGTTGGCAAACCCTTAAGTTAGCGAGATTATGAAACGATGAAACGAAAAACTAAAATCAAACACATATTATGACACGAAAATGACATTTGTAAAAAAACTTCATCAGCATTTATATTTAACAACCTATGATAATTAATTTATAATGGAACGCAAGTCCTGCGTTCATTTTTGGAGCATTTTTTCGGAGCGTGAAGCTTTAGCATAGGCGAGATAGAGAAAGAGAGAGAGAGCGCGAAAGAGCGAAAGAGAGAAAGCATACCAAAGTTTAGTTTAGGTGCGTGCATGAGTTAAAAAATCATAATTTTCCATTTATACGTATTAGTTATATGTATGAGTTACTTATGTATGAGATGCGAATGATATACAATATATATATTTTTGTGCATATTATTTTAAGTTTGCGAAAACTGTAATTATTATTTTAAGTTCGGATTTATATTTCTTCGTTATTTGTCGTCTTTAATTTCGAATGAAAATAAAATGATGAAGCAAACAAGTCATCTAGCATGTAGGTCATAAAAAATTCGCAAACTTTATGAGCATAACTTTATTTTCATTTATTAGTTTTTATACAAACTTTTTAACATTAAAGATTAATCATAATTAAACTTTATAAAAATGAATACCCAAAGACTGTTTTCGTTCCATCATAAAAGTATATACACGAAAAACAAACACAAATATATAAAATTAAAGTTTTAAAGCCGATGATGTAGGCGCTCGAGTGCGTCAGTTGTGTATCATTAACTTTAACGACACTCCAAGAAGAATTTTAAAACGCAAGTGCTACCACCACCAGCAGCAGCAGCAGCAACAACAGCAGTTTCTTTGACAACAGCAACAACAACAGAATACTCCTAAAATATATTCTAAAATAAACATCAAGCTAATTCTTACACAAAACGCTAAGGCGAAACTAGCTAACTTGCATATACACTGCATTAAGTAAAAGGAAAATGAAATTACCTTTAGATGAACTTAGCGCAATTGATATGATAATGAAGGATTACCTTAAATGGGGAAAAATATATATATATATATATAAATAAAAAATGAAATGAAACGTATTTTACATTGTATATATTATTAGTTTTAGCACGTAAAACCAAAACGAAAAAGAACAAACAGCAAGTAATTAAAGCATATTAAATTGGTAGCAAAAACCCAATGTCTTATTAAGTCATTTAAACTAGAAATTAAACGAAAAATACTAAAATATGGCAAACACAAGAACACATCTCATATGAAAAACAAATAAACGTGAAATACAAACACACCAGCCAACTGCATTTAAACAACTTTTTCCACGCGACAGAACATGAACAAATTTGTTTACCAACTTTATTTTTTCAGTGTTATGTAAATCGAATGGGGCTTGCAACTTTTAGGGGCGGCCAACACATAGCCATTAGTTTAGCCACAGTTATGAGTGCAATTTAAAATAATAGCCAACAGTTTTATTGTTAATTTGTTGCATAAAACCGCACCCACACACACACACACACAAATACACACTAACACCCACACACACACACATACGCAATAGTTATATAAATAAGGTCGAGTTGTATGCTGCTCTACAATAAAACGATAATTGAAGGTAATTTTTTATCGAAGTTCATCAAGTCATCCACAAATACTATATATACATATAGACCGACGAATGAATTGTAAGTAAATAGAAATCATAGGGTTTTCCATTGCCTAAACATATACAAATATATATACTTATACAGATATCCATTTACATTATTACTTTCAGTGGTTTTTTGTATTATACATACATGCATATGATTTCCAGACTCGTAGGCAATTTGTTGCTTTAGAACTTTTGGTCAGTCCTGCCCTAACAAAATATTAAAAAGATAACATAAAATTGATAAGAAAGGAAACTGCAACCTAAAGTTGACTATTGAAAAGTGCAAAGATTTTAACGTAATTGTTAAACCATACAGCGAAAACAAATATACATACATACAACTATTAGCAATAACATTTGCTGTACTTGTTTAAATTCTTAGAAATTTTAAAGCACATAAAATAAATACTTATTAAAACAACAAGCATATTCTAAAATCAATAGAAAGTTACACACACGCACACACACTGCCAGAAATGCAGCAACAGGAACAATAACTAACAATATTGATTGGTTATTCTATTACTTTTTGGCCACAATTTTCGAAACTGTGCTTACGCTTTTCCCTTTCTCGATGCACACGCACACTACTCTTTTCGCACGTACCGTAGCTGATTTCGGAAAAGTACAGCAATTTGCAAACACTGCCAATTAACTATTTCATTTCAAAGACAACAAAAAACACACTACGCCACGAAGCTAAAGATATAGAATGAATGTTAGCATCACTAAAGTGCTTTTCGCCTGCTTGTGGCATATTTTCCCATAATTATCAGTTGTTTTTGCATTCGATAACTAAAACAAATGCATTTATGCAAATCTATAACTTAATAAACACCACACTAGTCTTAACATACGACAACGGAAAAATCAACAACACACAAAAACACAAACACAAACAGAAACACAAATACAAACAGACAAACAGCTGCATATATTAATAAAATACATAGTTACAAATAACATTTTATATTTATAAAAACCCGAGCGCAAAAAGCAGAGATGGAAAAACATTAGAATTGTATACTCATTTACACACACATTTGTTATATATTTTTTAATGTAAGTTAGAGGCAAACATACAGTATATAGTATATACATATATATGCACGGACTCATACATATATGAAGTGAAATACATTTACACATATAAGCACACACACATACACATATATACACAGACATAAGCAGACAGACAGACTGACTAGCAGACAGACAAATATTTCAACAACATTCAAGCAACATACTATTTGATAACTATTTATTATGTATGCATTTTTTTACAAAAAGAGAAAAACCGAATATAAATTGCAAGCAAAATCCAAGCCCTATTAAAGCATAAATCATAACTGCAAACGGAATGGACAATTCGAAAAATAAATTCGAGAAAATTAAACCAATTCGAATGCAGTTTTTATGCAATTTGCATATAAGTATATTATTATGTAAAATCACTTCAATATACTGCAAAAACAAAAGCAAAAAACAACAACAAAATAAAAACTAGTATTAAAACTATTAATAAATATTATTAAAAAGTAAACTGCAAGCAACTAAAGAAATTTAATTAGGTAACGGTAACGGTAACAGTAACGAAGCAGCGAATGCCGAAAATCTCTTTGCAGTCTCAATTAATACGACTTCATGCAAAGAATTAAAATTATGATCATGAAGGAAACCAAAAATAAAACGAAACAAAACAAAAACAAAGAATTAACCAGTGGAAAATGTTATGTTAAGGCAAATTAGACACTAACTCACACAAACATACATACATACTATACATGCATACATACACACACACAAAAACACCACAAGAAGAACAACTGCAATTATATTAAACGAAATTATTATAAAAAGAAGAAAAATACAAAAAAGAAAAGTGAAGAACTAAATAAAGAATCTGTAACGTTATATGAAAAAGAAATCAATCTGTTTTTCTCATCTGGGGTGGGCGCGCACTTGCCTTTAACTTGCATTAATAGAGTGCATTCTAAGATTTAACATCGACTTAACACTTTAGATGTCGTGTTAATTATGGATTCTTGTTGTAATGAAGTTAACCTGGAGGAAGTGGCTTCTAATTAGGATATACCCGTAAGTATTGAAGTTATTAAGTTATGCACAAAATCCCTAGACTGTATTCTTTTTTTGTTTTAAATACTTTTAATAGAATTTATAGTCAAGGCACAACTAAGTTCAATAAAAAATACGTTGCACTTACTAAACAATTTCAAATTCCCATAGTGGCTCTAAACTGAACCTAATCTAATCCATCGAGGTGAATAGGTTATGGTCCAAGCTTATCGTCTGGAACAAATCAGATAGGAATCGAAACGAGTAGAAATACTTCAACATTTTGCTCTTTAACAACAACAGTAACAATTTCTCTGCCAACATTTTCCATTTACAACAAGCCGTAAAAAAATGGTACGAAATTCGAAGCACCATTGCAGCATGCCCATAAAACTGCGTCCAAAATCAATACAATTTCAGCGCCTAAGGCAATAACTAGAGATTTTTACTGCAAATGAGCAGCGCAATGTGCAGAACAACGATACCCGTGCCAACAAGAAGGCCTAGCCCGAAGCATAAATGAAAAGGCATCCAGAGCAACAAGCGAAACTTATTAGATGAGACAAATGGGCGCATCTCTGCAAAAAATTCATAAATTTTTTAGCGAGCGAACATAAATAACGAACGGGGATGCCACCGCAAAAAGGCTTAAAGAGGACGAAGCAATAGAGCTGGTGTCAACAAAGCAGATCGCAATAAAAGTGTAGGTGTGGGCAAGTAGTAGAAGAATTGTGGGCCACGCCCACTCACAAACCCACACACACAAATCGATGGTGTATGGTGCTAACAAATTGCTCAGCTAAGAATAGCCAGCAAAATTGTGGCTTATAAATTACACTTAAGAGTGTTTGTATTTTAAATCGTTTGGGCGTCTACGAAGTTTGTTTGCTTTGCCTTTAAATTTCTACAAAGCATTTGACTAGCCAAAGCCATTATTATTATAAATAATGCTCAGATATTTTGGCGCGGGGATGCATTCTGGCAAGTGACAAATGTTCAACAGGGAGCAATAATATTATAAATTAGATGCTTTATTGAAGCCGTTGGCTCGCTAAGGAGCTGATGTTATATTGTTTGCTGCTTTGCCTGGGCGCAAAGATTTCATTTTTCTGCCAACACAAACGCATTTCGTTATAAAAACCAACATCCACTTAGAATGGCATCGGCAGCTTTACTCGAATTTCCATCACCACAGCGGCCCCAAATGCAGGCAGTGAGACAATTCCGAACCCACTTTGGAAATTGAGAGCCAGTCAGCCACAAAACACACACACACACCCACGCCCACAATATTTGTTTCGCACATCTTGCTCGGAGCCAAAGTGTTTTGCATTTATAGTCTCGAAGCTCTCAATCTCTACCCCTCTCCCTCGCTCTCATGCAGTGTGGGTGCGCGCGTGTTTATTTGCAGATAGTGCAGAAAATATTTGCTGATCGTACTACGACAAGGCAAAGACTAAACCAAATAAGGAAATATTTTACCAGAGTATCGTGTATCGTGTGGCTTGTGTCGTTGTCACTGTCTCTGTTGCTGTTGTTGTTGCCGTTGTTGTTGCCATTGCTTTCTGCGGTCTGCCGTCTGCCCGGGGAGTTTATAGCATATGGGGGTTGGCTCTATTGGCATTAGTTTATACAATATTGCATTTGACACCGGGGCTGTACAGGAATTAGAAGACATTGTAATGGCTGCTGATAAAAGTTTACAATCACACATGTGCAATATTTGCAGAGAGCACACAATTTTGTTATTGGTTTTGTGGCTGCGATGTAGGAAAAAGCCTCAAAGTTAGTATCGTATAATGGCACACAATTGCTGTTTTTTCCTGTCCTTACCACCTGTATTGCAGGATGACAGCAACAGGAAGTGTGCTTGCAAAATATTGTACGAGTAGCTGAAATTTAATTGACATTGCTGTCAAATGTCTCACAGCTTGTTGTCTGTTGACAAGCTTCCAAAATTTGCGTAACAAAATTTGCGCCTAAAAGCACGCAACACCATTTATTTTTCGTTTTATTCACACATATATTTTGGCGTATATGTATGTACATATATGTCTATATTTTTTATAGCATGTCACATATACGACATTCATTTCCTCGAGTCAACACGCACAATTTGTCGCTTTCAAATGAATGAATCAATATGCGAAAAATAACCAACGCAGAAAGAGTGAAAAACGTTGAAACGGAAAATCTTGTTGCGACAAAAAAAAGGAGAAAAAGAAGCAAAAAAGCAAAAGCTAAACAATAAACGAAACATGTTAAGGCCCTGAGGCAGAAATCCACAGACATATGCACACACGAACATACGAGTATTGTGCACACCCACGTAGTTACTTAGCTGGCCTAGGGATACAAATGATTCCGGAAAGGGTTATAGGGCGGCAGCATTTTCCATATGTTTAACTAGATACACGATACACGATATACACAGACACGTGCATATAACGGAAATACCTAAAAGCAACATTGTAGCTAAGCAGCAAATTTGGAAGAGCCAGACACTGACACAAACAACAACAATCATTTGAATAGATACAACATAAACATGAAATCATGCAACACCTTATGAGAGTTAATTTAAAGTATAATATTCAAATACATATTTGCAGAAATTATTGATATAGTATACTGGTCATTAAAAAAATTGGTTCATCCGCAGTCCTCCAAGTATTAACGCTTTAATTTAAAGAAAGCATCACAGATTGAGCCGTCGAATTATCTGTGACGTCAAATTTGCTCACATAATTACTGAGTTTATTTTAATATACCTGAATTTTATGGCGAACGTTCTGCTATATTAAATTTTACGTGGGAATCATCAATTGTTAAACATAAAGCTGCTTCTTTGTTTTTTATGTTGTACTTATTTGAGTGCGTGCTGCTGTACATACAGAGCGCTTGGCTCGGTAGTTGCCTTTTTCGCAGGAATAGGCTCGACTTGAGCGATTTAAGTCGGTAATCATTCTCGATTTGATTGCATTTTGCGGCTGGCCGATCTCGGCCTTGCCTTAGGCGCTCCCG